GTTTGTATTTACTTAAATTACATTGTAGTTAAATCGAATTTTTGAATAAAAGTATTAAAATAACACCTACTTTGAAAAGATTATAATGTAATTTATTATCAGTTACTTGCATCGCACGAGTTGTGTATTAATTTTAAATAGACATGTTTTATGTAATTTTGCACAACTTAAAATCCATATCACATTTTCAACAAATTAATATAGATAAATTGTATTACATATTTTTAATTTATAAATATTATTTAATAAAAATTTTTTAATTTATAAATTATTAATGAATATTTCTTACTCGTGCATCGCACGTGATTCGTACTAGTTTATATATAACACTTTATTAATTAAATATTAAGTCAATTTAAAACATTCAAATACTTAAACTAACTAATAATATCTTATATATATCCATTATATTTACATATGTATTTATTATTTATATTAAAAATATTTTTAAATATATTTGTAAAAAAAAAGAAAACTGGATCGGTTCATTCAGCGAAAGGATCAGACTGTATCCGGTTTTCAAACCACGAGCTCAAAATGCAAAAGCTGTGCATGCTCGATTCAATTAGAACACTAAAGTGTAAGATCAAAATTCAAGCCCACAACATTTATTCGATTACAACACCAAGTGTAAGATCAAACTTGAAGCCTAAAAACATTCATGAAGCAATAACTTGTATAAAAAAAACACCAAAAGCAACTATTACTATCACAACAGCAAACAAACAAATCATGCCAAAAACAACCAGAGTTTAGCATCACATCTCCTTGATATCACTAAAGTGCACACCCAAAAAGGCCAAGTCCAGATTCCCCTCGAACATGCCTCCATCTGTAACCCATCAAACCTCATCAACAACAACAAAACTACTCAATGTACACCGTCATCTGGGTAACCCATTTCCCTACTAACTCGCCAGCCAGTGTATAGTCCCATTAACAAAGGCCCCTGAGGACAATTCCAGGGCAAAAACTTTTTTACCCGAAACATTCCTCCGTTTTCTTCAGACTATAAAATGGTGCACATTCAAAACGACACAAGGCTCCCAATGAATGTGCCTCCATCTACAGCCTTCTCGACCCCATCAATGACCATCTCCTCCTCTGTCTCATCCTCCCAATTGTAAACAATCAAATCTTCCTCACGGCTCAACAACAAAACCTCATCATCCCGAACAAAACACAGAACCTTCATAATCTCCCACTCATAACCATCGTTGATACTAAACTTCGCCCAAGACTCGGCCGAACCATACTCTTCCATAACCCAAACATCCGTTGGCTCAATATTACCATCCTCCACCATGCAAAGACATCCACTAAGAACAAAAAGCCTATCAAACACGAACTTTTCCACATCAACACCCTTAGGAGGGGGGATTTCATAAAAGACCTCGTGACCCAAATCGAAAGCGGCTATCACAGACGGGTAACCTTGTTCTCTACTACTGGCCAGCCAGTGGAGAGCTCCATTAACAAAGACCCCCGAGGATAAATCGGGGACTGCGTGGTCATAAGGGGAGTTTTTGACCCTTTTCCAAACACCCAATTTCACAGAGTAGACATCGACGAATGTGTCTTCACAATCAGGCTCGTATTCATTGTCCGTGTCATAATAAGAAAGCGTGACCACCTTATAGTCGTCCCCAACGCTATCGTACCCCAACCCGTGCATGCTGAAGCTCCCCGGCCGAATTAGAGCCAGGGGCGAATCCGGTATTTTCACGCGATTCAGAGTAATCGGGTTCAGTAGCAGCTTTTCTGAATCTCGCGCTAGCAGGACCAAGCCGTCGCAGGAGCCCGCGAGGTCGGTCCAAGGATCCGGAAGATTGAGGTTTTTTGAAACGCAGCCGTTTGCGATGGTTGCGACGGTGTGGACGGACCCGATTTGGGAGATGAGGATTAGGGTTTCGTGCTGCTGAGATGTTCGAGCGATGTGGGATCTGATGAATTGCGGGGTGGAAAGGAAGGCGCGCCATTGTTTGGACAAACACCGGCACTTGCCGACGGATGTTGCCGGGAGCCGCGAGAAGATGTCGATCAAGATTTCTTGGGGGAGGTCGGAGGTAGTAGCCATCAAAGTCGGACGAGAAAATTGAACTAATAACAGTTATTAGTTTAATCAAGCATGGTGCGATGAGTGGGGATCTGATGAGAATTGGGGTTTTGGAATTGAGTGGTAGCAATGTGGTCTGGTACAGAATTGGGCGGTTGGTGGGTTGAGGCGGGCTTAACGATGAACAAGGGCATTATTCACCTTCACGGGCTCCACCAATTTTACTCGCTACCAAAATATATTAATTGTTTTTAATATTTATCACTGATAAATTAACTTCTTTATTTTAGAAACTGCGAATGGTTATGCAAATGAACTGCATAAGTGTCGTGTTAACTTTTTTATTTTAGAAAGTGCGAACGATTATGCAAATGATCCGCATATGTGTCATACATAAACGCAATAATGTCGAAAGGACGTTGAAAGTTATATGGCAATTAGCAACAAACGAATAAAAATTACAATACAACTTATACCATAGTTTTCTTTCAGATTTGCCTCTCTTACCTCAAACAAAACTAGACATGAAATAAGATATAATTTCTTTCGAATCATGAAATTTATTTAGGTACATTACAAAAGATATTCTCCGCACGACTATATATCCTTCCTTGTTCAAACAAAATTTGCAGTTTTAAGCTACTCTTCATGAGGTAGCTTCATTTTTCTTTCCTTAGATTGCTTGCTCGTGAGTCGAGCAATTCATTTTGTGCAGCCTGTTTCGCCAAAAGAACGAATACTTAAATGAGACGGAATTAGTTGAAACAGATCATGATTTTGAGTTTCATATTAATTCTGCCTTAATTGCCATGTAAAAGATCGGTTTTTGCTTAATAGTCCATCACTGATATTCACTGTATCTATCATTATATAAAAAGAATAACTTTTTTACAAATTTAGAAACTTTTTTCCGCCAAAATCATTAAATATATTCTATATATAGTAATTGTTAGACAAATCTGAATAGGCAAAAAAATCGGTTCATTAATTGTGTAAAGATTTGTTTCTCTTTTTCCTGTTTTTTAGTTTATGAAAACCGTTGTTTGACAATAAATATTTGTTTTTCTTTTTCTTATTTTTAGTATAAATCTACACGAGTTACAAAATCCCATTGCTTATCTCTTCTGTTACAAAATCTCATTGCATACGTCTCACGTGTTTAAAAAATCTCATCCCTTATATATAAAGATTTGGAAAAATAAAATAAATAGAAATCAATTCATAATTACTACTAGAAATCCATTATCTTTAAAAAAAAATAAAAAAATAAAATATAAATCGATTCATGATTACTACTAGAAATCCATTATCTACTTTAAGAAGCTAATTCATCGGTCTAATTACTAATATTTTTACAAATATTATAAGCTAACCATACAAAAAAGTATAATAATAATTTTGAAATGGTGTGTAATCAAATTTTTTTATATTCCCTTATACAAAATAATTTTACATTGTTTGACCCCGAATCTTTAATTTATAATTATTAAGTATTGTTTATCCTCCTTTTTAATTTATAATTTTTTTTTATCTTCTATTTTTTAAATAAGATCAATAGTAGTTTCCACTTCCGCCATTGAATGACTCAAACTCGATATCTATTTATAATATTGTTCCCGTGCATCGCACGAGGTACACACTAGTTATTCATCCAAAAGGAAAAACAAACCTCGAATACTTTGTTTTTGCTTTTGAGCCCATTCATGTAATCTGAAACTCTTTCTTTCTCCTGTTGTAAGCATTGTGCGACCTGATACAATTTCACAAAACAAAGAGAAAATATGCGAGTCAATATATTCCAAGGAATTTTCAAATCATTTCTTTTCAATCATTATTGTTCTGGTGCCTACAAGAAATGAGTGTGTCTGTAAAAACTTACTATTTTAGAAGTGACAGGAGCCAAATGAAATTTGACATCCTAATCAAAAGCATGAAATTTAACTCTTTTGGTAAAACATAAGTTAATGGATTTGGTAAAATCAGTTTCATAATTGCTTATTCTTTCTCGTGAAAATCGAATCAGAAGCAGAATCAGCAACATAAGAACCACCCATATCCCCCCAGCTTAACTCGGAGAATGAAAACACTGCTCAGGACTGACCTTACGCGTGTACTCCTCCTTGGACATGATTGCAGTCCAGTTTAAGGTGCTTCTAGAATAAAATTTGCTTGTGGCTTCAATTATTGCCTTTTCAATATCTTCTCCATAATTTCTAGATGACCCCTCACTTATTTCTGCATAAATATCGAGTACTTCCTTCATCAAGACCCGATCAATTCTCTCTCCTTCGCGCTCCTTGTTAATCTGAAATATTTATTTTTGAATAACATTATTGTATGATTCAACTACATATTCGTTATTTTTAAATTACACTATTTGAATTATTCAAATACTTACTCCTTGAGGTTTGCCCTGAGGTTGCAGCTTGTAATAAGCTTTTTTAGGCTAAATATGGTAACTAATAAGAAATGCAACAACAAACATTTACATCCGGCACTTGCTAAATATGTAACGAAATATAAGAACTTACCATTGATATTATAGCATCATTAACTTGATCTTTCATTTCACAGAACACCTACAATAAACAAAAACAAAAAGAGAACTTCATAACTTAAGAAGCAACACTAACTTGTAGCAGCGAAAAATATTAAAATGAACAATGATTTAGTAACATTACCAACCAGACTATAAAATGCCGAGTTGCTGATTTCTTCAAGTGAAGGTAGCTTTCTGAACGGTATGTAGTATCTCTCGATGAAGTTAAAAAACCTTGTTAACCACATTTTCATAATTTTGTGATCTTTCCACCTTCTCTGTAACTCCTTAAGCAGATCTACATTTACTTTTCCCCTCAAAGCAGGCAATACCTGCCAACAAACATGATAACACTGTGGATATTTTACGTGCCACCATCAAATTAGCTTCTATAAAGTTTTCATTTATGTACCTTTGAAGAAATGTAGTCCTCAAACGTCTTTCGGTATTGATTGTACATTTTGTCGACCTCGGGACTTAACTTATTCGGGGAACACACATTATATACAGTTCTGGTGGATTGAGAGTTAAGAGGATGCATAATATCCCAAATTCATCTTAAACTATATATGAAAATGGCAAAGTTAACACCAATAAACATAAATAGTAGATTTNNNCTTTTCAGAATTTCGATCAGAAAATACATAAAAGCGAGAACTTTTCTCATCCCACTTATTTCTCATATCAAATGCAAAGAATCCGAGGTTGAAAAAAATTTCAAAGTTAACAGCAAGAAACATAAATGCGATGAACCCAAACAGCTTCACGATCACAGAGGACAACATAATAAGAGTATTATTAATTAACAGATAAACATATAAAAGAATCCCACAATTTTGCAAAATGAAATTGAATTTTTTTTTTTTCAGAGGATACGTATACAAACGCATATACTCTTCAGAAGTGAAGCACTGACGTATGGGTTGTCCCTCGGTTTCGATACTGTGAATGATCTTGTCAATTCCTTCCCTCTGCAAAATTGGCCACGCTTCATCGAAGGTCAGCAGGTTCTTCACGGAGGCGCCACCGTCCATGTCCGGCTCCGGTAGGGCGGCGGGAATTTCAATATTTGCTGTGGGGGTTGAGATTTGCTGAACTCTGAGCTTCAGAGCGTAGTGGTTGTGGCTTTT